AGGGGGATGCGAAGTTTGCCATTTTTAAACTCTCTTTTCTTCTCGATTTCTAAGCGATCAAAAATTTAGTAAAGGCATATTTGAGTACTACTATGTGCCTTCTGTATAATGAGCTCTTGGAGATTCTAGGATTTTCCCTCACAAAACTATTAGGTTGTCCCAAAAGTAAACTCCTTTTTTGAATAACTTGAGATGTTTTCGTTTTCCTAGCATACTTAGGGTATCATTCGATAGAGCAGATCAAGCTCTACAAAATGACCGCCAAAACGTCCGCCTAAGTCGCCTTCCATGTAAAGTTTGAAGCCAAAGTCGAAAAAAATTTTGTCACCTGAAAATTGGATTTCTGCGACAAACAATCCTACAGACCTTCAACTTGGTCATTATACAGTAGGCAAGTAGTGTACACAAATATGCCTTTATCGAATTTTTTCCGAGCATAGAAAGCGAGAAATAAAAATTGTCCAAAAATGGCAAACTCCGCCCCCAGCCCCTCCCACCCATGTCATTGTATACCACATGCCTTACTAAGTATAAGTCCAAAACCTTACCCCAGTATCTACTCTTATAATCGAGAAATACCAAGTTTTACATAAAAAACCGAAAAAAGTGGCATTTTGGCATTTTGGGACCCCCTTGTTTCTCAATTTTGAGTCCCGGAAAAAATCCACCAAATACATTTTTGGATACTACTATGTGTCTACTATATAAGGACCGAATTGGAAATCCGTAGATATCTTCTGGAAGGAGATCCGATTTTTGGGGTAGCTGAAAAATTTTGATTTTTGGCTCCAAAATTTACCTAGGTTATGAGTTAGGTGAAACTTTGGTAGTCTTTTTGTAGAGCTTGCTGCGCTCTACCGAATGGTACCCCGACTCTGTCAAAAAAACAAAAACAGCTCAAGTAATTTGAAAATGGAGTTTACTTTTGGGACAACCTAATACTTTTCAGGTGATAAAACTTTTTTTTCATCTTTTAGCTTCAAACTTTACATGGAATGCGATCTAGGCGGATTCTTAGTGGTAATTTTTGTACGGCTTTATCTGCTCTATCGAATGATGCCCTAGGTTCACTAGGGAAACAAAACAAGCTCGAATCATTTGAAAAGGAATTTACTTTTGTAACAATCTAGTATTTTGAGAACACTAATGAATACTTTTCAACCATCTCAAAAGTGAAAGTAATGCGCAGCAAATTATCAAATCTATCATAACTTCTCTTTGAGTACGAAAGTTCTGAGCAAGTAATGATTGTATGTTATTTCATTTTCAAGATTCTTTTTTTGCCGGTACCATAAGTGCTTCACATTAGGGCAGGATGACGCGGTGAATTGAAGTAATTGGATTGCATTGTAACACGAGTGTAATTTTGTTTTTATTTTTCCTAGCGTAAAGAATGAGCATAAAAATGTTGCTATTTGTAAATGAAGCTGTGGCTGTGTTTATTATTAGAACCCTTTCTTTGAGCGATAGCATTACTTTTCGTACCGCACTCGTACTTCAAAGTGCATTTGCTAGACATTAGGTCATTATGTTCATGACATGCAGGGCACTGTTCGAATGTAACGTACAAGTTGAAGATTTCAAACTTTTTGTCTCATTCGTAACACTTCGCGTAAATTGGCTTATGCTAATAGTATTTGTCCTGGCCTTCGCTCGGTCCATGGATGCCGTCCACTTCACCATTTCTGCGTTATCTTACTGTCAAGCTTCATTGCACTAGTCATTATAGATCATACTTCAACCCAAGTTTAGTTAAAGTTCGCTTTTTACAAACGACATTGCCCTTGTACATTTAGGTGGTACTGTATTTGAGGCGTAGCTATGCGTTCACAGGCGACTTTTGCCACCCAACTTCAATATTGCAGAACATTACATTTACCATACATCTACTAGCCTGTACTGGAAACAAGGCAAGTAAAGTTTTCAACTAAAGTACATGTCGAGTTGAAAATTTGCATTGAGGGCGTCTACATTTGTGACACTCCAAAACAACGTCAGAAAACTCTGTGTTAAAGCAAGAACACAATGAAAACATAATTTGGAATGAATAGTGGTTCGTGAAGCATTGCTCCCGCCATCGGAATGTGAAGAATGTCTTTACATAACGGGCAATGTGACTCACTGCTTCTTTTGATGTGCTTCGCTAGAATGTTGTTGGCCAGAAATCTACGCGTCTGGATTTCGCTCTGAAGAATATTTTATACTAAGAAATTGTCTTGATGCTTCACAGCCACAAAACATTGAGCCAAAGTGAACATTAACAAAGCTCCATAGGTAAAACTTCTGTTGCATTTTTGCTCCTCTCCTTTCAGCATTGTTCGCTAAGCCATATACTTTTACTCTTGCATGAATAGCGGAATACCAAAAATAACTGAATTTAACGAGCTATTATAGTTGATAGATGATGCCACCTGCCATATCTCACTGCCAGTACTCACGAAGAACTTATTCGTTCGTGGTACAGCAACATTATGAATTACTAATAGAATTTTATGAAGTGAATATTAGGATATTTTAGCAAAAAACTCATTCTGATGACCTATTCTTTGCTTTTTCTCGAAATTACAAAAAACAAAATGTCCTTTATAAAGAGGTTGTCTAGAACAAAAAATTTGGAAAACAGCATGTTAGAAACTGAAAATCGTTGCTATATCAAACGAACATAATTTCAATGATAGGTTTCAGCGAGATCAGTGGTGTAGTTATCACGAGTTATCAGTTATCATCTTGGAAGCTGCTGAAGAAATCAATCAGAAGATAAGTGCCTTAATCCCATCAAATCTGTTATCTGTTAAGACTCTGAAGGAGGCGAGTTTGCCGAGACGTCAGTCTGTATATTGTGGAAAAAATAGTACCAATTTCTTTTTTCGAAGCTGTTAAAGAAATCGATCAGAAGATCCAACTATGCCAAGATTTATGGATAGTCGAACATGGATTCTGGCGGAGTTATCAACAAGCCATGAACTTGAATTTACCTTGAGATGAATTATCATTACATTTCCCTTTTAAACACGAACATCCTACAAAGGTTAATCTTACCTTGAAAGCTATCTTGAGGTCGCTTTATGAGATAGATTCCGCTAGGTTTTTTGATGTTTACGGCCATAAGAGGATCGATAGAAAGAAAATTCGACTAGTTCATTGATACTGAAGCAGGAACTAATTTGCAGTGTCAATATTATAGTAGATATCATTAAGTTTTCTAAAAGACAAGCTATGTGCTGCGTGTCTTGTAGACTGTATTTTTGAGTAAAAACGACACGATAGATTTATTATCTAAAAACCCAATGTTTTTTCCCATTGTTTTGAAGCGAAAAAAAGCAACTTCTTTTCTGCTTCTCATTTTTCGCTGCCCAAAAGAATGAGCCGAATTTGTATTAACGGTTTAATCGTAAAATAATGTTGCCAAAATTATTTCTGCAGAATTAATTTAGTTTATAAGTAGATAAATTTGGGTGACAAGAGAGGAGGCAGTATATAATTGTTCAGATATCATCGCTGTCTAAGATTGTTCAAAGCAAGTGAGACTTCCAAGACTGATGTATGCATGTCACTGTCATTGTGTCCTCTCAGTACTTTTTTAGTTTGCAAATAAAGTCCATGAAAAGCCGTTCAAAGCTTACAGGGGAATAGCCAAAAGAAGTGGTCAATCCAAGCAAATTGCCTACCATTCAATGCAGCACTTAACTCTAATTTCGAATCTGTACTACTTATCTGCTTAAAGCCTTTAGTAACGAAGTTGTGAACACTTTTATTGCGAAAAGATCCCACACATGTCCTAGCAAAATAACGGCCTTTGATGCCTCATAACTCCCCACGTGGGCGCGCAGATATGGAATACAGATACGAAGTCAGCGTTCTATGCAGCATCTACTGGCATGCAGCTTCTTTGGATTGGCACCTTTGACTTCTGACCATTCCCCTGTAAGCTACAAAGAGAACTGCGATTTCGTTCTTCAGCCCTCGCAGATCTCAGAAGGGAAAGATATTTTTTGGCGTTAGGCAATTTCAATAAGACACCACCGTTGCCTCACTCTGCATAATCAACAAAATTGAATGCCTAAGTAGCTAACGCATCAGTTCATGGCTACCAGAGACGTTTACGCAAACTTTTAGTTCCGAGTAGTAAAAACTCAATAAATTACAAATTGCTCAATTCTAAATTATCAAAAAAATGCGTAATTTTTTACATGGGTAGTGTCACAATCTGGTACGAAAGCTGTCTCATACCTTTTACTTTACTCACGGTCAGTCAGTTGTTTAAAAAACCTTCAACGTTTTGACCTGGTTTATGATGCAGAGCAGGCTAAATTGGCATTGTTGGTTACATTGTAAATTGATTATAAAAAACGTTTTTTCGGATTCATATGGAAACGTAAAGGAAGCGAAGAGTGGGCTGCGCCACATTTCATACTGCACTCAATTATATTTTATTCGGAAACCTGATAAGACAATCGTGAATAGTTGCGACTCTTCTCAATGATTAGTGCTTTTGTAATCACCTTGAAGAAAGAGACATGATTAAATGACACATCCCTACTGTTAGCTTTTGAAAACTATACGATGAAATTAAGCCGGTTTAAGGGCTATTTTCTCGGCCTAGGGTAACATCCAGCCGGACTGCGGCTGGAGGTAGTGAGATGACCAGGAACCCCACCATAGCAACAACCCGCAGGGCGTGAATCTGCCGGGACACTGCCTCGAAGGCTGATTGGCCAGGTGAGAAGGAAAACGATAAGATTGCAGTTCAAATAAATTTCCTGAAATTTGTACCTGGGCTGTGGTTGAGCAAGAAGTCAAATCATAAATTTGCCCGAACTCTGTTTTCAAAACAACTGACAATAAGTTGTCTGCGGGTACCTTTATTAAATAGTGAGGAGCGTTGGGCGAGCAAAGATCAATTGAGTAGAGCTGAGGTAAGCATGAATAGCTCGTCTGATGAAATCTGTGTTTATCGATGTATCGATGTTGACTGTGCGGATCTATGTGGAACACTGCTGACCATCTTTTATGCGCTTCCAACGAGCATTAGTATTACAAGGTTAACAGAGGGTTATAAGCCAAAAATAATAAAAGTAATATCAACAGTCGCTCGTTCATAAATCCTTCATGGTGCCATATGCACCTACCCTGCGAGTCCTAGGGGAATGGCAACAGAATGACAGACGACGTTACGCAATACTGTGTCAAATTTTGCCTGACCATAATAACGCCATTCGCCATTGACGCACTGGATATGATCTAGCTGACGAAAGTCACGTACCCTTACTGAAAACGCATCAATCTTCATTAACACAAAGCTGTCAAGACAAGCAAACTTTTGTAGAAGCTCGAAAAAGCAGCTTTCAAAATAACAGCAACCTAGTTTGCACGATGCATACTTTCTTGAGTTTCATGTCTGTTGTGACTATATAATTCCGCCTCCCCCCCCCCCCACACTTCTCATTACGCTGGATAGCTGGGTTGTGTGAGCAGCTTAAGTCTATGTATGATCCGAGTGAAGGAATTCCTTGAATCTAACATTGCTGAAGAAGATTCTAATTATGGAGACGACTGTCACTTCTTGACAAAAAACAATATAAATTCTTGAACAGAAAATATGAGCCGTCATATGAGTCAAGTAAATTTGTAAAATTTCTGTAGTCAATTGGGTCTCTGTTCTGTTTTTTTTCTCAAAATTTCCCAAAAGTTCAGAGACAGGTCATATCTTCTCAAACATCAGTTGGTCATTTTGCTTACGATAGAGTGACATCCTGGTGTTTTTTGTGAATTACAGTAAATTAGCAGGACTAGATTGATATAGAAGTTTAAGTGATTGGATAGAGAAAACATTGTGGTGTAACAATGGTTAAAAGTTCCAACACAGATAAACATCGAGTAGCTTTTGAAATTCCAGGCTTTTTCACACCAAAACCTTCACCAGCAAAATTGACTCTGTTTCGATCACACAATTTCACGTGCTTTAGCAAATTACCTAAAGCACCTTTGTGATGGAAAGGCTGTGATGCTGTTTTCAGATTACTATCTGTGTTAAAAAAGTTTTCCTTCATTGGTTTGATATTGGCAGTTAGAATGTTTTCGCATAAGGACAAAGAAAGACTTGGTACCGTGGCCTTTTCAGATAATATTGAACCGTTACACTTCTCTAAAGCTAATTGAAATAGATTTCATTTCCGCTAATCGTTTCTTTGGAAGATTTTATGGGGGATCGCGCAAAGTTTGGCAATCCAAAAAAAGTACAATCGGAACTGCGGTTTTCAGCCTTGCATTGCTTCAAACTTTTCTTATGAGTTTGGATTCCTTGGTGTAAGGCACGTCTTTGCTCTACAAAACTATAAGAAATCAATTTGCGCTAAAATGTATCATTGCGAACAAACTCTTTCAATTAATTTTTCATCAATTCCATCGTTTTTGAAAAGCCATTTTCCAAAACACTTTTAGTGAATATAGGAACACTCTAATGGAAAAATGATTCTTTGTCAATTTTTGATGAGTAAGGTTGGTCTCACAAGGAAAGGAAGGTTGGTCGAAGTGGCCTCTTGAAATGAAGTGTATACGTTCTTGTAGAGCTTGGAACGCTGATTCCAAATCTACCTTTGCTATTTGCTGCGGGCTTCTGGGCGACGAGTTATGAAGGTTTTTGTGAGTAAAAATCTGAATGCAAGAGTAGGCTAAAATCAGTCGTAACATTTTATATAGGGCTTAATTGGCACTCAACGCAACAAATATTCTTGATTCAGATATACCAATTCGCTGCTGCCTCATTTGAACATTGGGAAAAGGTCACAATTGATTTTCCCCTATTTTTGCATTCAGATTTTCACTCACAAAAACCTTCATAACTCGTCGCCCAGAAGCCCGCAGCAGATAAGGTAGATTTGGAATCACCGTTCCAAGCTCTACAAGATAGTGTACACTTCATTTCAAAAGGCCACTTCGACCAACCTTCCTTCCCTTGTCAGACCGCGCCTGTACTCACCGGAACTTGCCAAATGAGCGAAACGAGGATGCCGTCGAGTTACTGACTGATATATAAGCTTCACAAGCGGTATTTCATGCGTGTTTCAAGAACCCAGTTCCTGGGAAAAACACTTCTCTCATTTGCAGGTTTCGGCTTCCAAGGGATTCAGGTGATTTTGGACGGATAACGGCGGGTATCAGCGCGGTTGACCTCTACTCAAAAACGTGCTTGTCTTGAAAATGCCACAGTCATAAGAAGAACCTTGATAAAGGCAATGCAAAACCGAAAACGCGAAAAAATTAGAACTTATATTTGCATATTTCCAAGAGAATGGTACTTACCGCCACACCATAGCGCAATGTTAATTCTTGGCCTTAAAACTTATCCCTCAAACGCCAAACTTGGTGCGAAGTTTCCCATAATTTTTTATAGAAGAAGTTAGCAGAAACGGAAGCAAGAATTAGAACCAGCGTTTTTAGACGGTAATGGTATAGATTACCGCCTACAGGTACTGGTATACATCTTATCGATGCCTATGGTCACTAATTGTAAGTATCCTTTTCTCTTCAATTTCTTAGACGTTAAAGGCACCGTCCACCCAAAATTTCGACCTCCATGTTTTTGCCGTTCCAAGGCCTTCCCATACTCTTGATTCCGAATATCAAGTCGGAAATCCGCAAAAACCACAAAAAACCCCGTTTTAGAACCCGTAAAGCGATTCTTCGGAAAGGTGATTGGCTGGGCGCGCACGGATTGATGATCACTTATCCTTTTTTTTTTGGTCTTGGGCATTAACAATCTCGCTGACAACTAGAACGCATTTTCAAAAAGCTTCATGTTCTGAAGCACTGGACACCTGATTTCTATCCATCCGCGAGTTCTACTACCCCTTGCTATAAAGATATTGAAAAGGAGCAAGAAGTCGTACAAATTACATTTTCCAGCTTTTTGTATAGTCCCTTGATGGTCGCCGGCGCCCAAACGTTTTTTAAAGACCGTCAAACGCATCTTCTTATTTCTTTATTTGGAGTCAGTTTTCTTCCTTCAAAAATAATGAAAACATACCAAAGTTGTACTGGTTACTTAGCCCAGCATTCTAAGCATAATTTTGTTAAGAAGAAATGAGTTATTAGGATATTGAGTTTGATAAAACCTCATCGAAAGTTTCATGACTTCAATATCATTCGATCTCAGCAAAAACATGCTTATCAGGGAATGGTCAAAACTTAACCGCGCCGTACCAAACATGCTGTATATCATATCCGCTGATTAAATGTAGGTTTATTATCTGCTAAGCGATTACCTGGGAGGAGTTACGAGCGTGTATATGAGTGATTTGTCAAAGAACGTTCTAGGAACTAGGTTTCCAAAAACACTTATTTAGGTTTTTGGTGAACGTGCTTCTTCCTTGTGATTAAAATAGCCATAGCCACTGTAAATCCTCGCAATCAGGCTGCCTCGAAAACTTTGAATGCTTATAACTCCTCCCAGGAAGTTTCTTGGTAGATAAAATTATATTTGAAATCATCGTTCAAAAAAAGTCCGATGATATACAGATTGTTTGGAATGACTGAGTTGAGTTCTGACCATTTTCTCGTTAGCATTGTTGGGTTGGTTAATCAGTACAATTTTAGGAAGCATTGACTTCGAAAGAAGAAAAATGTCTTTGAAGAAAAAACGGTCGGCCGTCGGGGATCATAAGGGAATGGAATCATACAAAAATCTGGAAAGTGCGGCTTGTGCAAGTTCTCGCTTCTTTTCGATATGATACTTGCAGAATAAATAAACAGCTAGAAATCCGGATGTTTTAGAGCTTAAGAAAATAAAGCTTTTTCCATTCCTTATCGAGGATGTCATTGCATGCGGTCTCAGTCTGATTACCCTAAGTGAAAGGGCTTCTATGTGCCAACACTAAATAATTCGCGAAATAATTAGCTTAACTGTTTCTGGCTAGCATATCTAACCCTCAACCAAGCGCTTGACTGAAATAGTGACATTTCACCGACTAACTCTTAATTGCCCTTACATCTTAGCTACAGGATCGGTCTCCACGTCATGTGCAAACTCACTGTTACTTATATAAGTGCCATCAGCATATTGAAACCGTACGTAGTCCGTTGGTTCGCAGTTTAAGGTGACTGGACACAATGGCGGAGAGCCATATGTAATAGCCTTAAAAAATAGAGTAATTTATCATGATTGGCAACAGGGTAGTTTAGGTTTAACGTAGATACATAGTAAAGTTGAGGCGTATACAACCACCTCAATAACATTGTGATTTAATGTTATTTGATCGAAGTGAAGCGTTATATCGTTTGTCTGCGTGCTCTATCTCCTCCTAAGTTCGCATTTTGAAACTACATTGCAAAATGCAAAAAGGCAAAAATGGAAAGTAATATAAGATGCAGCGGTTGTGAAAACGACCTTTTCGCGGCACGATAACTTCTCTTTGTTGCCTATGAAAAAGCTCTAAAAGCTATAAACGAAGTTTCGCAAAAAAAAATTCTCTGATGCCCTTGTTTACAAATGCAACAAACAGCTCCCTTGTCAAGCACAGTTTTCTAAATCTTCTAAGTTAACAAATTTTCAAAGATATGAATTATGCAGGTTGTCCCAATATGATGGGCAGCATGATCTTTGATAAATTTGAGCCCCCTGCGTATAGCGGGCGTGGTCTAGGCGGCCGCGGACAAAAAGTCCGAGGCTTCAGCCGTCGCGCAGATTGATAATTGCAATTAGCTGCTAATTTTCGGGTCGCGCCGTTTCTGGTGATTTTTTCTTGATTTTTTCATTATTTTGTTTTCAGATTGCGTCGCGCATGTGAAGCTGCAATTTCTATGACTTTTACTTTTTTTGATCGCTGTTTGACGCCAGGCCAGCATACAATTTAGGACGCTTGGGCACTGCAAATCTCATATATCTGTAATATTCTCGCTATCTTCTTTTTAGATTGGTCGGAATAAATCAAATGTTTATTTCATGTTTTTCTAGTAGTTTCCAAGTTTCCTCCCTTCTTAACCTCGGCATTGTTAGTATGTTGTGAGTAAGTTAGTAAGCCAAGCCACTTACCACTCCTCTCGGTAAACATAAAGTTGAAGTTCACGGTGGTAAGGACTTTCAGATCAGATGTGTAATACTGGCATACGAATACGATACTGCCGTTAGAAAGGCTCTCGAGGCGTTCTGGATTTTCGCAAGAAATCCTAGCATGAACAGCCGAAATGAGTGTATGTCAATCACAAATGACTTTATGCCATTCGTGACGATGGTATACAGTGTGTTCCATTATTGGTATCAGTGGCACTAAAGGACGGCCGCTTTCAACATCTGCGCGCCGGCGGTGGAGGAGGTCAGTTCGTCTTTCACGTTATATGGTTTTGGTTTGTAGCATTCTGGGGCAAGTCGAGGCTAGCCGGGGATGGAGGAGGTTTTTGGTGGAGTAGAAATTAAATCATAAATCTCCTACCACTTTAGGCCTCTAAAGAAGACGAATAGTTCGAAACGTTAGGCCGCCACTTACTAATAAACTAACTTACTCACAACAAATCATGTTTTTCTGTTTTTCATGTTTATATCGACTTTTTATTTCACAGGAGGGTGCGTCAAAAGTCTGAGTAGTACTTTTCAGATAAAATCAGAAGGAAAGCACCTAGAAACAAAAATTTGGTGCACATATAATCTGACCTTTACAAATATAGCGCAGCTCTCAAATATTGGGATGCTTCCTTTGGTTTTGAAGGAGCCCTTTAAAATTGCAGCGAATCCACCTGTCGTGGCACGCATGTATTCCTAATAAGATTCGTCCAATGCCTTCACAATAACTGCATCTTTCACTTAGCAAATGTGCAGCAGGATAGAGCAAGCTTTTGTCTACAAAATAGTTCCAAGACAATTTTTCGCAGCATTTAGAAACAGAAATTTCTGAATTTTAAGTAAAGGCAAGTGCACTCGCATACTGGAAATTTGGATGCCATTTCGCGAAGGAAAGTGGAAAATCATAAAGTAAGAAGTATTAGAATTGTTCTATTGACGTAATTCAACTGTATGCTTATGTAAAGACTTATAAAAAGAAATTTAGCCCAGGCTTGCTGCGATTCTATAGCTTTTGAATTTGTTTTAGAGCAGACGACCATTAGGCACGCAGGTAACATTCGCAAACCTTAATTTTTTGTTTTTGGAAGAACAAATTTGGCAAGCGGAAATACTACGAAGTGATAGTGCAAAGCCCCCTCTACCACGTGTGCATCAAAAGGCTGTAGAATATTCAATGTATCTTTAGCTACAAGATAAAATGTTACTACTCAAAATTTTGATCTTCTCGCTCCACATAAGCAGTTGCTTAATAATTCCAATTCTTATGAAAGCGCGTGGCAACACCTTCAGATAGGTAAATTGTGGTTTGAAGAGGATGATCGTTGCATTATGTGGCTTAAAACAGGAATCAAAATTATGAATAGTTCTAATTCCGTAATTTACAACATGGTTAAGTTGGCTCCCAGACTTTTAACGCACCCTGTACCTGTGTATGCTGCGATTTCTAAGAATGTTTTGCTGCTTTGACGTTGCTACGAATCCTAGCTATCGCTTAGCACATGGCGCTGTCAAAACTCCGATTTAATTTGAATGATTGTAGTGCCATTCATCTTATTAGAACTGCGTGTTTTATGGAATCAGCTCATTCAGGGATTTTGTCTATCTGATTCTGCTTAATTACGATGCGAGTGGTACTGAGAGCTCGTTGATTGCGGAAAAAGTTTTTGTTGATTCTATACTAGAAACACTTCTGCGCCAAACAGGTTTGTTAGGTGTTCTTTATTTCCAATCATGGCCTAACGTTTCGACGCCATAGGCCTGAAAATAGCTCAAAGCGTCACCCGGAATAAGTACCATTTGAATTCCTGCTATTTTCAACCTTCGTTCAACACTTCTACCGTGAAAATTGCTATGCCAGAAGATGAACATACTCTGTGAACAACGATATTTGGGCCGCACCGGAAGTGATAGTCTTGGCGGATAGAATGGACTCATAAAGGGTACGTTCATCTTCTGGCATAACAATTTTTACGGTAGGAATGTTGAGCGAAGGTTGAGAACTGGCAGGAATGGAAATGGTACTTGATGGCTTCGTTTCTCGGGTGACGCTTTGAGCCATTTTCAGGTCTCTGAAGAAAACGAAAGGCATCGAAACGTTAGGCCGGATTGGAAATAAAGAACACCTAACAAATCTGTTTGGCGCAGAAGTATTTCTACTATATGAATTATGCCCAGATCTGAAGAAAGCAGAACCAAATTATTAGAAGTTTTTGTTAATTTTATTAAGATATTAAAAGTCGCATTTTGCTTCAGAAGGAAACATATGAGCGAAAAGCTCTTATATTAGGCTGACCAAACCTGCTGAATTCATCTGTTACATAAGTTTACAAAATTTCCCAAAATCTTTCTATCAAACGGCCTAATTCACAATTGCGCCGCATGCTAAAAATTTATAGCGCCATCCTGAGTACCGAAGACAGGTAGGAGATTCGCTCCATACTGTAAATCTAAGCAGGGAAGGTATATGACTCGCAGTGAAGTTTCCCTATAAGATTTATATCATTCGAAAGGTCTTTGAGTGCCGATTTCAAAACAAACTTCCTTATCTGCTTATCGGTTTACCGAAGAAATTTACAGGCATTTGTTTAACCTCAAACGACATTGATTTTGGTTGCTTTTTTGCAAGACTAAGGCGCCGGAGTACTCTAAAACTAAGCCCATCAATTTTTTTATGTACAATAAATATATCTCAGACATTTGGGTGTGCAACGTTGGACCAAATTCGCATTTATCACGAATTTAGATCATTTGCAGAGTACCGACCAAACAAACTGGAAGCGGAAAATCACCTGTAACTTTGTTCACTAACCCGATAAGCAGAGAGGAAAGTTTGTTTTGAAATGCGCACTCAAAGGCCTTTCGAATGATTTGCATTTCCTAGGGAAACTCCACTGCGAGTCATATACCTTCCCTTGTAAGTTACCAGCTGAATGGAATGGTTTCTGAAGTTCGACAAAAAATAACGGAGCAAGATAGTTATCGAAGATCAGACAGTACGTACGTTATTTTCTGTCCCTATACTAAGAGTTTATTTTTAGAAAGTCGCAACTTCTTATCTGATCTTGCATGACATCAACAGGAAGAGTAAACACGTTCTGATAACACTTTGTCTATTCTCTACAAAGCCCTGGTTGCAGATGTAAAAGTGGAAAAATCGTTAGTTTGGTCATATTGAGCGACTCCTTCAAAAATACAAAAACACTCAATCAGTGTGATTTACTCATTAGTGAGCGAAGTTTATGCTGATCCGACTTTTCTATAGAAAGTCATGGTTTTTGAAATAGTGGTAGTGAGCACAAGAATTGATTTTTTGGCATTTTTTCGAAAATCAAGTTTACATGGAAAAGCCTCATTAGCACAGGGTTTGCTCAGATAGATAATAGAGATCACATTGACCGTTTTGGATTCAATGGCGCAGTTTTGCATTTTTAGTCTCGCTTAAAATCGCCATATCTTAGGTGTTTTTTTTTTCATTTCTTTCTTTGACCAGTGCTTTGCAGAATTAAGCAAAATTTCATTCAAAAGTACATGATTTCTAATACTATGCAAGGTTATAGTGACAGGAAAAAGTTACGATTTTTTGGAAATGGTGCAACAAAACTTACGGACCGATCTAACACAAAGCTCATTGTACGTTTGTGTGTCAGTGTATTTGTGCATCCTTGCATACGTATGTTCCAAATTAAATGCTCTACTGTTAAACCGATTCGGATCAAACTATTCACACATAGCTGCGAGTAGACAGGTACCAATTCAACTGAATTGGCGGCTGGAAGACCACCGCTCGCACCCGCTACGCACTCTACGATTTTTTTTTCGCGAGCGTGCTCTTTTAGCCTTGACTAGGTCTCGAAGCCTTCTCCCTTCCCCAAGCCGCCAACTCGCTGCATCAAAGGGTGACATTCTTTTCATTATCGTCAATGTCAGCTTATCAGGCGCTGGGAGTCTTGGTAAAGTGATCAGATGATTTGGCCGCAAAAAATTTCAAAAATTCATGGCTTTCTTTCCACTTTGAGCTAAAGTTCAGAAATTTAGTACGAGAGGAAAAAAAGAGTGCTTTGCCCTTTTCGAAATGTTTTAAATGTGTATGCGGTTTTTATTAGGTCGTCCTGAAAGTAATTTTGCTTTTTTGCAAATGCGACACATTTCGTGGAGCAAAGATCTCTGAGGGATCTTGTTAGCATTCGATACAATTCATTCTATCTCTGATGACTACAAAATCGTTGCAGCACAGTCAAGGAACCCTCGGAATATTACCAAAACAGCCCACGTTTCTTAAGATAATCAACTTTCACAATTCTAGACTCCGATATCAACACTCCAAAGGAGTCCAAATAAAATCTGCATAGAGCAAATTCTACTGAGTGCAAAGCAAATTTTCCCTCTTTCCCGTAATTCACCATATTTTTTGAATAGATTTCCAACTCTGATGCCACTAATTTCCATACTTGTTCGACAAACCTCCTAAATCAACAAAGGAAAGCGATTCGGATGCTATTCAATGCAGTTTTTTCCTCTTTCTAATTTTTTTGTTTCCGTTTCGTAGAGTTTTTGGGAATAAAATCATCATAAGTCATGTTTTTTATGCGCTTTTCCGAATTCAAAAACTATAATTTCAAATTCTTAAAGTTTTATTTACTTTATAGAATTTATTGAATCACAGTACCATCCTGAAAGTTTCAAATTTCGAACTCTTATTGTTGTTTGATGCGATTGTGGCTGGCGTAAGCCTGCCAAAATCCGTTGGGTGAAAAAATCTCGCCAGTGCATAAGTTATGTGAACTACTCCTTGCAACTGTGATTTTGACGACCTAACCTAGAAACAGCGTCCATCCAATATCCACCTTACCCAGATTAGCATATAGTCGTCAAGGTGGGCCCAGGGGTATCCAATACTTTGGTATACTCCTTTAACATGATCTCTTAGGGATGAGCCAGACTGCGCTGCATACGCGACGCACGCAGCTTACGCAGCGCAGTATGTTTCACCATGGCAGTCTTGCGCAACCCCTGAAGGGCATATGTGCCTGTGATACGCATCACAAACCGGTTCTCGCTACAAACCTCTCCATGAGGACGAGTGCTTACGCAAGCATAAGCTCTGAAATGCAACTGCGTCCATACTTGGCAGCTCCTCCCCTCTGGCAAACCGAGAAGGATTAATAATCAACTCGTCCGCGCTCTTGAAACAAGGTCCCAGAAATTAGGCTTTTTTGACGGTTTTGGAGTTTGAACTTTATGAGTCATTACGACCACAAAGACCCGAGAATGGCAAAAACTTGGGAGGCGAAATAGAAATTGAAGCCTGCATCGTCTTGTTTTTCCATTTTTATCTCTACATTCGATTTATAGTAGGAGCTCGTAGAGACGCGCTTGCAGAAAAAAGATTCTGCTTTACAACAAAATTAAGTAGAAGCAGCCCCGTGGGCACAAACATAAGTTACAAATTATGAAGAATTAAACGACAGGACTTTTAGAACAATCGAATAATCATCGTTATCCATCTCAATTCTAGAATCAATAACGAGGTGCAACAGGTATAGAAATTGCTGCATGAAAAAGAAACGGAAAGTTGAGTTTATCGTGGTTTTTAGATGTTAACCGAGCAATGTCGGATGTCTCAGCTGTACCATCTACATGGTCAATTGTGGTTGAAACGAGATAAGAAAATGTTAATGCTGGATGCAAGGATGAAGAAATGTGTTTTGAGAAAACTGGGTAAGGAATCGCAAGTATGGCATTGAAGATAGGATGAAGGAACAGGAGCAAATTTTTTTCTGCAACGTAATCACTTATCGGTATGCTTCACCCACTCCCTATCAAAAGTGATTTTATCTAGTAACATCGTTGAACTCGTTGCAAAGTAAGGTTGAAATAGCTGTGCACGGTGAAAACCGCTTTTTCCTGGCTAGACCTCCTCCCCTTGAAACAAAAGCTACTAAGCAGCGTAAAAGAACAGCCAAGCAGAGACCTTACACGATGCATATATCAGAAAGCTGCATGTCCTGTAATCATTGCAGTTAGGGCATTAGATAACCGCTCTGGCTAGGCACGCGCCGTACTTGATCCGCTTGATTCACTTGGTTTGCTTGATCCGCTCCGTCATTGGGCGATTCAGTGAACTGAGCAATAGCGAAGCGATTGCCCGCTTAATCCGCTTGATCCACTTTATTCAATTCACTATTGGTCAGTTCTCTGAATAGACCAATGATGAACCGAATCAGGTGGATCAAGTGGATTAAGCGGATCAAGTATGGCGCGTGCCTTAGATTTCAGAACAAATCCGTGCACAAAGTGCTCAAACTATTGTAGACAATGCATTCATTTCCGCCTAGACAGACAAGTTTGTAAAGTTATTGCTTGTTGTTGAATTCCCCAAAAAACAAATAGACATGATTGCAAATGTGCTAAAGAAATAGCTAAAATTAAAACTTGTTTTGACTGGTGCAACATATCGCATGACATATTTTCGCGTAAAGTTTTGATTTCGTCTGCAACTTTCAAAGAGCAGCTTAGACATGATACATTTTCTTTAAAAAATCCCATTCGAAGGTCGGTTACCGCGTCTCAGAGCGTTATTACAAATACACTGCCCCCCCCCCCCGAGAATGAGTCGCGAGATTTTTAAAATTCACTTACGCGGGTTATAAAAATGCGCAAATGATTCGTTTGTTGTGAACAATCAAAATGATTTTTTAAATTTTTCAAAGATTCAAATTAGTCTTCTAACTGACGCCACGCCCCCTTTTTCCAGATTTAGGGGCTGGGGACCCGCAAAAATTCTGAGAAGGACCTCTAAAATTTTTTCGGGGTTTTTATTTTTACCACCCCCCCCCCGGTCCGAAATCCTGCTACCGCCACTGATACACTGGGATACATAGGACCACTTAGCGAAATGCATAGTTCCATTTCTCTTGATTCATGATATTCATAGGCATTTCTTTAGTAGAATTTTTGGCATTCTAAGTTTAAGAAAGAGTCGGAGATTTATTCTGCAGTAGCGAAATGGGTGAATCACTTCACATGAAAGCTTTTGAAACGCAGATAATACTCAACATTCTTGAAATGCTTTGCGAAAAATTTGCATCAATTAACATCCGGAATTCGTATTTACGTGAAGCTAAAACAAAACTTACCTTGGGATCTTTGTTGCAAGGTCCATTAATAGGGCAGAGACTGTCGCTGTACAAATCTAAGGGACACTGGCACTGTGGAAGTGTTGTCGGTGGTGGAAGTGTTGACAAAACTAAATAGATATAAGGCATTTGAAAAAAAGCTTGTTTTCTTCTTTGACGCATCTATTTCTAGATAATCCGCGCTCAAGAATTGCTGTTTTTCACAGATTCATTAACTTTCATCTATGTATAGCTTCTACAAATTAGGTCATTCCGAAAGTGATTTCGCTTTTTCAAACGGGCGCCATATTTGATAGAACAAAGGTTTCTGAGAGATCTTGGAAGCATTCGATGCAGAATTTCATTCTCTTTCAAATGATTATAGAAGTGTTGCAAAACAGTCAATGATTTTCAGAAAATAACCAAAATTTGCGACCAATCCTTTTGAGCTGATCAAGTTTCACGATTTTTTCAAAACTTACAAATTATTTCTCAGAAGGAGTTCAAGTAACGATTCGATAGAGTAAACCTTGTAGAATACAGCGCTACTTTTTCTCTTTCTCGTGGCTCGCCGTAATTTTTAAAAAGATTTCCTAACAAAACAATCGGATTTTGGCAGGCTCACATCGGCCACAATCGCATCAAACACCATAATTATTCGGAATTTGAGACTGCTAAGATGGTACTATGAGTTAGCATTAATTTTACAAAGCAAGTGAGGGTTTACGGGTTCGAGATATCAAGTTTCGAGTTTTTCGGGTACAGCCTGGGCTCGCTAAAAAATGAGTTGTAATGATTTTATCCCCAGAAACTAAACGAATCGGAAACAAAAAACACCTGTTGGAAAAGGAGAAAATGCTACATCGAATAGTGCGCCAGCTGCTCTTCTTTTGATGCTCTACGAGGATTTGGCTGCCCAAGCATGGAAATTGGTAGCATCAGTTAAAATTCTGTTAAAAATGTATGACAAGCTATGGAAAGGAGAAAAAAGCAGTACTGAATTCTGTAAGGTTTACTCTATCATCTTTACTTGAACTCCTTCTGAGGACTGATATGAAAGTTTTGAAAAATCGTGAAACTTGATTATCTCAAAAAGCATGGGTCGCAAATTTTGGTTATTTTCTGGAAGTTCATTGAACGTTTTGCAACAATTTCATAACCATTAGAAAGAGAATGAAATCCTGCATCGAATGCTACCAAAATCTCTTAGAAACCTTTGTTCTATCAAATGTGGCGCCCGTTTGAAAAAAGCGAAATTACTTTCGGAATGACCTAATATTTGTCATGGTCATCAAAAAGTAGACACCAACAAAACCTTTTCAAGATTACTTTCTTGTCGGACATTTCTCCAAGTTGGATAAAGCTGAGTGCACAGAATCACCAAAACCGCCATAGGCTAAACTCCCGCGAGCGTGTTTCTTGCGGGCTAACTTTGGCAAGAATCTCACAGAATCATCAATTATTAGTTGAAGAAAATGTAAGATATTTACGGTGTACACCTCGTTTTTTGAAGGTGACTTAGGACCTTCTGTCTGCCTGAATGAGCAGTGTAGGCAACCGTTGTGGTCTCCAAAGTTGCCCTACACGGAATTTAACATAATCAGTTTCTACAAGGCTCTTGCCTTTAATGCTATCCGCTTGTATAAATTGCACGAAAAGCTGACGAGACACGCAAATAAGAAACCGCATGCATTGTTTACGACTAAGCAAAACTAAAATTGGTGTCCTACATTTTTGCGTTCTTATCATATGACATCGCCTTGAATGTTGTTGATAATGACTTTGTTTGGAACAGCCGTTCAAGGAATTCGAAGACACGGTGAGCTCTCTTACTTGAGGTTCCTCTTCCCTCTAGCCCAGGGTTCCCAATGGACTCATCCGTTACGGGTTAACTGGTCAGCCTAACCCTGATAGGTGTGCCCATACGATGCGTTTGAGTAAGGGAGCAGGAGTTCGGTTGAGACTTCCTCACCCTCCGGCGAAGGAGAACGACTGCACATTCCAGCAAGTACCCTAATTTCACGCGTACAAAACGGGAGGGATTTTTTTTCCAGAATCGACCAGTCCAGACAAGCCAAAGGACTCTACAACCAAAGGACCCTATAACGTGCAGTATATTGCTCGAGGGAATCGTGCGATGTAAGGATTTTTTTCGGGATACAGTGAAGCGGCTGAGCGGCCCGCTTAAAAATTCGAAAAAGTGCGTTTTATACGCGCGAAATTAGTGTAATGAGTGGTACACCAATTTGTGCCAGATTGTTTTTTGTCTTTGTTTGGTGCACCTGTATATGAAATGAACAGATAAATAAATATTGATGTTTAAATACTGAAACGGTTCCAGCACAGCGCTCGAACTGTGCGTGTGTTAGAGCTGTCCCGAAACATATGCACGGATAGTATGAACCCAGCCTAAGCAACTTTTAACTATTTCGCCACCCACTCAGATAACCGCGGGGGCAGGCGGCCACGCCATTTTCGGGCAAGCGGGCACCGGAAAAATAGTTCGCTGATTTCTTGCGGTCCGCTTGCAGATATATGGAAAAATTTTAGCGAAATTTTGGACAAATGCTTGAAGAACAATTGCGGTTTTTTTGCAGATTAGCTGCGGCGCAGTGGCCGCATTCTCGCGGACTTTCCGCGAGAATATGCAAAATTTTCGGGGGCCGCACAGTCCTCTATGGAGGACCGCGCAGCCCCCAGGTACTTTCCGCTGAGAGAAAGTACCTCAAACTTGAGTAATTAAACTATCGATGACTCCTCTGCCATGTAGAGTCTCACCTTTGCTCGGCATACACCCGAAACTGCTTAAAAACCGTCCGAGCGCCAGCTAAAAATTTGACCAGCGCTCGCTGAAAGAGATTATTTGACGAGCGCCTGCAGAAAATTCTGTGTTGCTGCCCGCTGGCAGAACATTAGACAGTAAAGGAAGTGCCGCCCGCTGAAGGTTTGGCCACGCCCCAAAATTCTGCTGAGCGCCTGCAGAAAAACGCGAGTTTGCGGACCGCCTGACCCCGGCGATTGTCTGAGCATTTTCGAAGCTCCCCTTCCGAACCCCTTCCTTCAGTTCTTCACTGCTTTTAATAAGATAGTTCTAAACCGCAAACTTTTGGCAAGTTTGTGTTCTGAAAATGTGGTCTTAAACTTTCTTCTATAGATGTGAATGTTTCTGATGAGAAACTAGATGTCATTTTTGTTTTCCATGAAGGCGTATTTTTTTTGAAAATCTAACAACACTTCCAACACTTCATAATGGCGTCAATAAAAGTTTCAAACAGGAAGCTTATTGACAACTATTGTCCAATTAGCAAGAATGAGTAGGTATAAGTCTTTCACATAGCAGCAACTTCGAGAAAAACGGCAACATAGCAAATGTTCGTTTAGCTTTGCCACTAATACTGTGATGGTAGGTAGCTGCCAGAGTAAGCGAATATTTTGTTCAGGTTCGTTCAGCTGCAAAAGCGCACGAATTAACGTTGATTCTGCGCGGGACCTGCTGCTGAAGCAGGCCTTGGCAGCAGTAGAGATTATGAAGCAGACATTAATTCTGTGCGCCTTTTGCAACTGAACGAAGCTGAACAAAATGTTCGCTCACTCTGGCACCTACCTTATTATCGCTGATTGTATACAAAGATATAATACATTGATTAAAGACTTTGCGACCACTCACATGGCAAAATCGTACAGCATGCTTGGAATATATTAACTTGAGCAGCATTTGCTATTGATATTGGCATTGTAGCTTGACAGCCTGGAAAGCGGAGTCTCGTTTTATGTAACCACGTGCTGAAGTGTATTAAGCTGCGACAAATCTGTTTTTCCCCAGTCAAAGTGCATCGGCGAAAAACAAGCACTTCGGTGGGCACTATACTTGGGTCCGAGTCGAATAGAAATTCGATCATTCGAATAAAACATTCGAATATATTCGATTCGAAAATTCGATATTCGGAGTTTTTCCATTTTCGAATAATAGTCGAAACTCGAATAACTGAGTAGACGGGGTTTCGAATAAAATTCGAGACTCGAATAATCAAAAAACAGGATTTCGAATAAAATTCGAAAACTCGAATAATCAAAAAACGAGGATTCGAATAATATTCGAAAACTTGAATAATCGAAAAGCGGGTTTTCGAATAGATTTTATTCGAATGTTTTATTCGAATGTTTATTCGAATTCGTATTCGAATGAACTCCGTATCCAAATTATTCGAGTTTGTTGCAGAGCCAACTGTGAGTACCAAGCTCGCTTCGTTTTCGTATTTTTTTACAAGACCAGGTGATGCATCTTTTTTGCAACCGTAACGACCTTTGAACTGTATGGAAAGTCGCATTCCTCCGACTGCTTGCGACATAAAAAAAATAAATGTGGATTTTAATTGATGCTTTTTCGATCAGTGAGTTACAGATGTCTTCAGATGTAATGCCAGCTCACCACAGATGTATAGCGTGCGCAAGCCTCATTTTTAAATTTCAGCTCCAGCCAATTTCATTTGCTGCTACTCTGCTAAACTGCCCTTGAGATGTAGTGGACGCCGATCGATTTTATCGATTTTTGGGGAACTTTGAGCTACGGGGCTGGGAGTTGGTACAGGGAGGTAAGTGAGAGTGCTGATATAAACAAAATTTTTGTTTATCGATTTCACCGATTTCTGGAAAAGCTTGAGCTAGGAGTTGGTGTAGGGGATATGAGGGTGCTGAATATGAATTAATCGGTTTTAGCCAGAAATGTCAGCAAGTTTTAGATATGTTGCAGTAGTTATTCGAAAAATCATTCGAATATCTATTCGAAATTCGACTCCCAATGTTCGAATATATTCGGTATTCATTCATTCGATATTTTTGATTTTCCGAATTTATTCGAAATTCATTCATTCGATATTTTTGATTTTCCGAATTTATTCGAAATTCATTCATTCGATATTTTTGATTTTCCGAATTTATTCGATATTCGTTTATTCGAAATTTTTCATTTTCGAATTTATTCGATATTCATTCATTCGATGGAAAATTTTCGAATTACCCAAGTATAGTGGGCACATGATACGCTTATGGTTTTAATGCATGCGTGACAACTACAGGACTTATCAAACGCAGTGTCGCTTGCATCCGCATCTCTACTCCCCCGCTGGACTCTGCGTTTCTTCCGCGAACATGCTCTCTTATCACTCCCAGTCGATTGAGGCTCCGCCTTTCCCATGCTCTCCCTGGGAAGGTGATCAAAGAGCATGTTCGCGGAAGAGATGCAGAGTCCAGCGCAGGAGTGGAGATGCTGATGCAAGAGACACTGCGTTTGATAAGCCCTGTAGATTTGGGAAAATATTTATCTCATTGCGCTCAATACAACAATACAAAGTTGTTTTTGTAAATCTATGCCTAAAGTACATAAGGCTTCAGTGCTGAGTAGATTACCCAAAGATGTGTGATGAACGCTCCTATAGGTCAACCATCAACTAATTTTAGTAAAGATGAAAACAAATAGTGACAGTGGAGTGTAGGAGAAGAATGCCGAGCGGTTTACAGTCAAGCTTCGTTTGACAAAGTCTTATAAGCTCCTCGTCGTCCAGATTGGTAAAAAAAAACACTTATGAATTCCTATTCACAAGAATGCAGTAACAATTATTGGAACAACTAGCTGAATGCTGCTTTCCCACGATTTATAACTGTATGAACTGCCTTCATTTAATTGCATGTGCGTTCAAACGCTTTTTGTTTCTGTCCGTTATATGACATATTAAATGACATACGGATGAGCATGTTATCATTTTCGTAGAATGCATAATTTTTTGAAGCCTTAGCACTGCATAAGTGAGTATTAAGCAAAGTATCAAACATAAAAACATCGTTAACAAGCTTTTGCATACAATTCACACAATTATAAAATTAGCATTCGTCCTCTCTGCTTTCCTGAACATAATAACTTTAACTTTTTGTCTTTGTAGATCTCTATCCATCTTTTCTATTCTGAGCAAATTTGTCTATGCATTGCAGCAAGAGCCAAAAACAGAGAAAAACTGAATTGGCTACGGTTGTACATCATCCCAAGCGGCACGATTTTGATCCATTTTTTTCTGACACAGAAAACAGAGAGGCCGTTACTGTTGTTTTGCGATGGGTGGCGCTTAACGAACACACTAACTCAATAGCGCAGGGGTAGCAAGTAAAGAAGTGTACAGACAATAATTACAGACACTTCTTGTACGGGTGCTCGTATATCATGGTTTAAGCGGCGGCTTACATAATTGAAAATGGCCGAACAACTGTGTAATTCTCCACCAAAAACAAACTCTTTGCGAACTGAATCATGATACCTATTTGATAGTTAATCTCTCCATCCGAAAAAAAAAACACTAATACATGCAAAACGCAAAGAAGTAAAGTCCAGAACACATCATTGTCAACGCTAAATCATTGTAATAATTGAGAGGTGAAGCCGTTGACAATTAGGTAAAAAATGAACTCTAAACGTTAGAAAGTTTTTGTGTATTTCAGATGTAACAGGTCATCGAGCTCGTAAGATCCGGCTAACAAAAACAGCAGTTTCTAGCATAAATCAGCCAATAACGGCAGCATGGCAAACGACGTTTTGCCGCTTTTGTCAAATTTTTTATCCCAATTTCTCAAACGACAGCGCGCCTGGCCCGAAAGAGTCTCAAAAGCGCCCTGATACTTTTCAAAATCAAGCGTCATTGTAAGATTTGCGAGAGACCACAACAATTGATAATTTGAAAGGGCGATATTTGAGGAGTAGTATACTAGAGTAATTTCCAGATGGTGTTACAGGACAAGATGACGTTGCCGTCTGGAAACAAGATTGTCGTGCAAAAATATTCATTATGCTGATTAGATCTTAGTATGAGCTCTTTAAAATGAATCATTTGAATCATACCTTCGATACATGGAGGCATGCACTTTGGTGACCTTTACTTTGAGCGACACAAAAGACCACAATCTTCACCATAAAGCAGATGCCATCCGGGGCTGGCTTCGCCCCAGATGTTAAGTCATAACTATATTGGAGTTGATATAAATGAAGCACGTATAGTGATTAATATCTCAAAGATATCCCACAAAACAGAAAAATTGAGTTTTTATAGCCTTCATTGTGATACGAAGTTGTTGCGTATTCCATAGTATTCAGGACAACGTTTAGCTGACCTTTTTCTAGGCGACGATTGGCTATCAAATACTCACGAGAATCATTGGAGTTCGATCAAGACAACGAACTGCGCTTAATTTCAGCGCAGAAAGGCTTGCGAGTTGTTCAGCGCTTCTAGTCGTGTCATGGCAATCAAATATAAAGTGTTGCAAAGTTTCGTTGATACCCCGCTGAGATCTACGACCAGAGGCAAATGCCCCGTCGGCTCTGGTCTTTCTCTTCTATTCATCTGCGTCTCCGGGCGTTGCGCGCTATCTCGCTACTTCAAACGTGGGGTACGGGGCATTTGGCTCCGGTGGCTTTGACACGACCTTATATTAAGGTGTTATCGATTTTATAGCGGAGTTTCCATGCACAGCACTTGCTAGCAAACCATCAAAGTACAAGGGCTCATTTGCTCATCTATATCGTTTCTATCTTCATAATTTGAGCACTCATTTATTGGCTTATTTATTTCTACTCTACCAGAAATAAGTCATCGAATCCACTAAGACAAGAAGAGAATTACTATTTCAAAAAAATGTGCGACAGTAAGTAGTAGTGACAAAATATATGTCTTAGCGATTGCAGGAAAACTACACATTATTTAATCATACAAATCATACACGTTTACTTCAAACTTTCAGCATATTTTGAGAAGATAATGTACAGCATAAACGTCACTCAGACCCGAAAGCTCCAAACACATTTTCCTGTTCATTGTAAACAATTAATTCAGCTTCGAGCATCAGTTCGCAATAAAAAGAAGACATCCGTTTTTCAACATCGTCATTCCAGCAGTTGCTTAGATTGTGTCTTACATTGCAAATCGATGTGAGATGGTTTATCAAAGGCGAAGCAACTTTTTACTTGATATAATTTAAAAAATCTTGCTAATCAAGCTAGCGACGAATAAACACTGCTGGAATAATTGAAAAAGTTCCTCTCAGCGACTGAAAATATTGAATTGTTGATTGCAGAAACATTACGCACGAGAAGATGCTAACTTGAATCGTCACCCTTCTAAATGTCATTGTGACAAATCAAGCGGCAAAACCTGGAATATGTTTGAGCAATTTTACACATGTAATTATAGACTAATCCATATACCATCTTCCGAGATTTGTGTTTTTGAAAACAGAATTTCGTAGCGTCATGTCTTGACATAAAAAAAAATTAAGTGACAAGAAAAGCTGTAGCTAAGGCGACACATTTTGATATATCTGCGAAAAAACGATGGTATTTGAAGATAAAATTTTATCCATGCTTGAACGTCTCCTTGAAATTGGTAGTGTTCTAATAATGTTCATAAAAATTTATTGAAAAATGATGCACAATCGTTAATTAAAATTTAATAAGCGAAGATATGTTTAGCGATTTACAAGATATAAATTCGTCATCCATTACTTTCACCTCTGTGTCGTTAATGTTCAATATCCAACTTCCGTTCACACAAAACAGCAATGTATTGTTCTCCGCACTGGCTTGGAAACGACTTTGCGAAGCATACTGAATTGTTAGTAATTGTTAATGAAAATACAAAGTGTCATTTTGAAAAATGTTGTGGAAGTAAAAAGTGTCGAAAAAACTTTGTGAAGAAAATCGTGTTCTATTGTGTTTATAGCATCTATACGTCTTCTGAAAGCCGTTTCTAAAATTTGGAATGCTGGCGAAGAAACCTATCATGACAAGAATTATGGATTCGCTTTTACAATTCAGTGTATTTGGATGCTTGAAATGCAAAAAAGGATAACTTTTGAAAAAAGATGAAAAAAAACTTCGAGTGCAATCGAGATCATTTTCGCACTCATAGCATACGTGACACTTGATCAAACAATGCATTACTCTCGAACAGCCTAATACCATTGTAATTATTCAAGTGTGATAACATTCTTTCTCGCTTCCTTTTTAGTTCTCTAACCATAAGACAACTATATTCAAGAGCCATCAACTATATTCAAGAGAAGAGAATGGATACACCATCAAAGTTTTTAATTTTTTATAAACTGTTTATACTGCTATTGCGTTGCACTTCAAGATTTCTTTCCGAAAAATTTGCTATCACAACACTGGGAGAATTCTCTTTTCAAAGCATAAAGCCTTCTTTGGAATCGAAAATTCTGAATGGTAGTTTTACTAGATTTTTTGAGTTAATTTTTAAGAGAAATGGGCTAGAAATCGGAAAGTAGATTCCAAAGGATGGCCCAAAAACTACTTTGAGCCCCGACCAGATCAATCTGTCCAGCAAGATTTTCTCTCGATAGAGTCCAAAAGTTTGAAAGTATATGCAGAGCTTACGAAAATCATACCAAACGGTAAGCGACCATAACGTCATTATGTATGAATTATTACAAACCTTATTGCTCCTTGAGATGACGACGTTGTCTCCCGATCCGCAGTCCAGCCTTGAAGAGCACTTAGAGGATAACTTGTCATCGATTTCATCACATGCAGGGCATATTTGTTTCAAGGAAGGACACAAGCTCGCACATTTCGAATATTTCTCCTCATGTTGTTCTTAACGTTTTGCATGAGCATATTAATGTGTTTTTTTTCAAAGTTTCCTCTTCTACCTTTGTTGACACAAATCATGCTTTCCACTTCATGAGAGTGTTTGCCGTCATCATAAATCCAAACTTCATTGCAATAGATATCCTGCGGATAAACAATAATACTCATACCCGACTTCAGTTGCACCCTGTAGGAAAAACTTTTGTTTTCATTGTGATGAGGATACACTGTAAAAACTTACGCCAAAGATGAATATGGGCATTCCACCACCTCGCAGCCATCTGTGTCATTCAAAGACTTCAGAATAGGCGCTGAGCAATTGTTTTTGGACGTGCAAAGATTAATTTCAGTGTAGTTTTTAAGTGACGAACATGAAACTGTGCAGCCTGATTCGATCTCAGCCTTCCGTACTCTTCCTAAAAAATTTCGGCTTTCTAGAAAAGCTTTAATATTTTCTATGCTAGCAGATTATTGTGAGCCAAGAGAAAATGGCACAGTTGTTTCAAATTCGCCTTCAGCTATCTGTAGCAATTAGAATAACTTACTTCCAGTTGGGGGGCCTGGTGGGTTTGGCGAAGGGCCTGCTGGGATTGCAACTGAATAACAAACGACGTGACGCAATACTGTGTCAAATTTTGCCTGGCCATAATAACGCCATTCGCCATTGACGCATTGGATATCCGCCAGCTGACGAAAGTCACGCACCCTTACTGAAATTACGTGGGTATTTATCAGCACAACATATTTTCAAAACCAACTCAAATACGTATGAAGCTTAAGAATAGGCACTTGAAGGAGCAGATTAATTCATGCAATGTTGTTTTCTTCTTTTCTTGGTTGCAATTTTGCGTTCACCACTATGCTTCTTTTTTCCCAACTCTTTTCAACAGCTGAGCTAAGCAAGCGCAGATTAATCATTGATACGACTTCTTAAAATGCCTCAAATCCAAAATCGTAGTTAGAAAACAATTCCCCTTATGATTTTTGTTCTTTCGATAGACTGCATCACTTCAAGAAAGTTAGTATTAAAAATCATTGTGTTTGTGAGGTAAATAATACGCGAAATTTTCCGTTGTCAATTTTTCTTTCTTATTTTCTGTAAGGTTCTTTTGAATTACACCAAGCTTTGCCTTAGCATCTGCTACAACAGAAAACTGCGGTGTGTTCTAAATTCGTTAGAACTATTTCGCCTTCACACGGTTACAATAATGTACTGTGTAAAAAATGTAAAATCTTTGCATTTTAACCAACAAAACATTATATGAAGTAAGTTGATGCAAAAGTCCCGTATAAAATATTTGGAATATCATCGATCGTTTTGTATGAATTATGCATGCACTCAATCAAAGTACTCAAAAATACACAAATTGTGATATCTCAACTGTGATTAAGTCATAGAGTTAGGTATGAAAGAGCGAGTCCGAAATAAATTTATGAGCGACAATTTCAGGACAGCTCGAAAGGGATCCAAAACTTCGAACAAATGATGCAAGTTTTGCAACCAACTTCTTGAACGAGCAAGGCTTGTACTGCTCTCGAAAAGAACGTTTGAAAAAAAGTTATCTTGAATCAAAGTTGTCAAGAACTCATCAAATCAGGCAAACTTATGCAGTGCCAAGGCCTTCGATTGCCACAAACTGTGTTCAAGCAAAAAGAGGGTAACAAAAAACTCAATATTGCGGATTTCATTGCAGATTTCAGATCTTGGTAATAACACGTTAACGACCGAGCCATTTTTGACCACATCAGAATGGAATGATGATCTACGACTGCGGTTTAGACTGTTCAACAGCTACCGCAATGACGTGTGTTCTATATGACAAACAGGCCATCGGTGTTATCACTGCATAGAAGTTACCTGAGAACTTTTCGTTCACATATGATAAATTGATGCGCGAAAGTGCTAAAAGGTGGTCAGGGCATGCATACGTGCGGATGCACACGGTCGTAAACTTTTAAGCAGATTGAACTAACTCTAAATAAATTCTCTGCTTCTATTCCAAAAATCTCTCCTAACCTCTCCGAAATCTATTGTCGTTCTTTGGCGCACTCACAGGATCGCAAAGCTTTTGAAAACCGGTTGCAGTGAGAGTCAAGTAAGCCCCCAGTTTCTGGGTGAGGGAGCGGTCAGTCTTCGCGTGTGTCGTTCCTTCGGCAATACTCATGTCCCACAGTCGTTGCTTTCTTCACGAAAATGGAGTTCCCTTGAAAAATTCCTGCGAAGAAGATCTAACGTAATTGCAGTTTTCCGTAAAGCCGACAGCTAAACTTCCCAATGGTAAAAAGAATTTTTTATGACGACCGCACGTCTTCATAGAAATCATGCATTTTTAATTCATCAGCTTATTCAGATTTTGGAAAATAGCAGTGGGTGATGCTTACGTCTGATCTGGAAAACGTTGTGTGGGATAGTAAGGGTGAAAGGTTCTCATACGGACTGAGAAGTTGGACCATAACTGGGTGAACAGGGCCAACTCTTCCAAAGCTTCTGGAACTTTCCCACCGCGGATAATGACGGTTTTTTTAATGACGGTTTCACTGTCGCATTTCCTTCCTTGTGTCCCTCGTTCCTATAAACTGATTCAGAGAGCGTACAGTCTTGGTTGGAGACTGTCTCAGCTTTTTAGTCAAGAGCATGAGGCGGTTCGCTGGAGAGTTATCTCAGACGTGCGGTTTGGTCGTCTCAAGTTGTGTCTCAAGCAAGCATCCTCTTGCTGTTATCCATCTGCTCGTTACTTTTCGAATCTTTTTATATGCTGCTAAACGAGTAACTAATTTCTCACCGCTAAGGCACATTACTATATCGTGCTTTCTTCATCCACAGATGATCAACGATTAGGATGAGAGACTGCCGGCAAGTTTCACCCACATCAAAGGCTACTTTTGAAACTTTATTGTATTAGGTTGTCCGGAAATTAATGTCCGTTTTGAATTTCAAACAAAATAAGTCATACTCTTCACATTTTTAGATAGGTTGCAATTCAATTCGATAAAGCAAAGACAAGTTCTAGTTTTTGGAAAATCCAGATTTTAATGTAGATCAGGAAAGGAAAGTTATACTCGTTATTTTTCAAGAATCAAAGCTTGTAAGGAGCTGAAAATTTACATTTATACTTCTATAGGTAGCACAGCATCACTTCGGCAAGAACATGAAAATTTGCACTTTTTTGATTCCTTATCGATGAAAAACGGCGTTGGCCTAGATAAATGTCTTTTGTGAGCAGTGTTTATGTAAGCAAATTAGAACTTTTGTAGGTTTTTTCACGGACTAAGTTACAAACTTTTTTCCGGGTGTTGAATCTTTTTTACTTTTTGGCCTGAAACTTGAGATGAATTAAAGCTAATGCAAAAGCAAGATTGCCATCTTGTAAAGCCTGCTTTGCTCTATCGAATAGTAAATTGCAGCCTATCTAGAAATGTGAATTGTTTGACTTACAGCTTGAATTCGAAACGGACATTAATTTTCGGACAACCTAATACTTGATCCACATGATAGATGTGCTATTGTAATTATACCACTTGTGTACTACTAATGCGAAAGGATTTGATTATATTGGTCAAGCAAGGTTGTGTTCAAACACTTCAATCGACGTGTTTGAACCCCTTTCTCGTGTAAAGCTTGCTCATGATGTATCCAGGAATTTTTGAGTCCTAGTCAGCCGCAGTCAGAATCAAGTTTGAGGTTAAGCCCTTTGAATACAAAAAAATGAGCCCTACATAACAATTTGAATATTCTCTCTTCTTTTTTCTTTAAAAGCTCAAGATTGATACATTTTGATTCTCATCAGCCAAGTCAATATCAAAATTGCGCACAATGCCACAAATGCTGAGACAGATTGGCTTTTTAGAATATTAACATCTGACTAAGTCGAGTACATCACAAAAAACTTTTAAATTGTCTAGGAGTTTAAAATCAACGTCTGAGCAAAATTTATGGAGTTTTTTTTTTCGTTTCCCTTGGTTCATCTTTACCGCTGATTACGAAACATGTAGCTTTTAGAACACAAAAATTCGCAAATGGGCTATTCTAAAAGCTTGATTTTGAATCTGAACACCTACCGCCGAGGTTAAGACGTAGGGTCGGTGGAACTCTAGGTCTTGACTGTGTGCAATATACGCGCTTAAAACTTGCAATTAAAAAGGCTGCGTTCGAGCCTACTCGACTCGGGCCACTTTCGGGACAACGGCTTTTATGGCTTAGTAGACCCTCTTTTCGCCCCGGCATCGTTTGCGTAGAGATCTACTGCAGCATCGCTACAAAAGTTCGATCTCTCACTTTGCAGGAACGCCGCCTTTGGGGCGAGGGTCTGATTTCGCTCTGTAATAGTCAATAGAATGCATTCGAGTCCAAAAGAAACTTTGTAGAGCTCTAAACCACTTTTTGAGGGCTATGTTAAACACAGTTTCAAGCGCAGATCTAGAATAAAAAACAGATTTGTTAAAGCGTTAAGAGCTTGACTTCAATTTTACAACAAAGCCTAGGTTCTGAAGTGAAGCTGGCGTCAATAAAAGCTTAAAATTGCATTTCCAATGATTGTTCTGCACCAAGTCGATTTGACATGCATTTAATGAAATTGCCTCTTCTTGTATGGTAGAATCTATTTCGTGAACTTACGTAGACGTACGGTGAAGAAAGCTTCGGGTTTTGGAACTTTGCCTGATATCGTTATTTGGCGCGTCTTGTTCATTGTTCGTCCATTTGTCCATTGCAAAGAAATTCTTATTTATACGGCGAAAACATAAAACCCAATTTACGTTTTTCTCCGCACACTTTCCTCATTCTTAGCACTTTTCCCTCATAGAAATCCGTCCATGCCCCTCGATTACGACCCTTTACGATAACTCGCTTGGACCTATTCTTACAAGGGAAGGATACTTGGTCGAAGTGGCTTCTTCATAGGAAATTGTACAGTCTTACAGAGCAGAACGATAATTTTGAATCTGGTTTATTGTCTGCAAAGCGCTCCTGAAAGGGGTTATGGAAATTTTTTCTAAAATTTCAAGGCTCAGCTGCAACAAAATCATTTAGAAGTCTAGTCTATGAACTGAGATGGAGTCATGATTACTGCTAAAGCGCTTCGTGCAGTTACTATCTTCAGTCTAATAAATTTAAGCTAGTCGTTGCTTCAATCAGGCGCCGAAAAACCCCAACACTCGTTTTCACCTACCCAAAACCTTGAATTTTTGTTCAAAAGAATTCTCATAAATATCATCCCGAAAGGGCTTTGCAGATAACAAAGCAGATTTGACTGCAAAGCCCTTTCGGGATGATGTTTATGAGAATTCTTTTGCTGCCTTCTTAAACTATTTTTAGCTCAACAATTAGTATCCTCTTGTATGTCGGCGCTTAAAAATTTGAAAGGATGCATTCGTGTATGCCGCTGAGGGGTGTCTGTTAGACACATGCATGACACAGACTGTATTATAATGTATAAAAGTTGGTTTTGCTCAGGTTTTCATTTTTTTGAAATGACGTTTTGTCTTTTATTTTTCACAGTTCAAAAAGTCTGGAGCCCCTTGAACGAAATCGGCAATGGTGCAATAACAACTGCGCGATTTGAGTTTGCTTAAGGACTCTTTATGCCAACTTTGGTTACCAAGCCTCTGAATTGATTCTTCTCAGATGGTAGGAAGTCAGTCATAAGGGCAGCAAGTAGTAGCTATACTTAATAATTGACTCTAAACATTTTTCAGTGGGTTATCTTCCAGTAAAACGAGTCGTTTTATAGAAGTCTCAAAAAACTTTTTTTTGATAAGAGGTGGTTATGGTTACCTCCCATCGTTAGCCACACCTTCCAAATAACTGTTGGCAAGATGCGCTGCATAATTTTGCGGGCATAGACCAAAAGAAAAGAGCGCGGCTGTCGTTACCCCCTCGGAAAAAATATAACAGAGCCAGCCGAATTCAAAAGTTTTAAAATCAATTTCAAGTATAAAGAGTTGCTTGCACAATTTCTTTAGTTTATAGAAACCACTTTCAATATTTCGCTAACCATTTTCTGAAGAGAGAAATTGTAACCAGACGTTTTAGCAAAAAGATTGTGAATGGCCGAGTTTTGCTCAACATATCTTTAAATTCATAAGCAACTCACTATTATTTACATAAGAGCCATCAGCATATTGGAACCGTATGTAGTCCATTTGATCGCAGTTTACCGTGATCGGACACAGTGGCGGAGGACCATATGTAATTGCCTTAAATGCATTTAGTAAGTTTTGACTGTTTTCTAGCGTGTTTGTCCCTATACGATAATCCCAAAATTTACGAGTTTTTCCTCCAGCAGCGGAGAGCGAGTCTCGTTAATTTTAAGATTCGCAGAAAAGCTATTTACCATTTCAGCTGTTCAAGTCTTTTGATGTTTGGTTTTTATACAATTATACTTTAGACAAGTTTGTTTTATCGCTTGCCACGGCTGCTCGAAAAGCTATAAAAAAGTTTCTTGCATTTTATGCCAAAATTATGGCTATTTGAACATTATTACAATTTTCCTTAGTCTAACTGCTAGAGGACGGTTTAGTTATTTTTATTATAACCAACAAGGAAAGGCAATTAATTTAAGTCGGCCTTTTGAGGAGCGACACATATAGTTGAATTAGCTTAAAACACTGGTTTCCAATCTGCTATCCATAGCTGCGAAGATTATCTGATGCGAGTTCTGAGCTTTTTCTGATCAAAGTTTGCGTAATGACCGACTTACGGATGCTACGGTATCCTCGTCTAGGTAGCGATTCAAATGCATACTTTACCCTATCAAAACCAAATGACTTCTTTGAAGTTCGATTTTCACCACTTTTATGAATAAATTCTTATCTGATCAAAAAAGGCCTTCCTTCTATATTCAGTTGTATGTAATTGACAATGCCAATGACACATACCAAAATGCTTATAACGCGCTTCAGAGCAATGCTTGAAAGGTACGGACAGCATATTCAAACATCTCAGGCTGATTTCGGGTGTATGCGTCAGTTAGGTGCGTCGGTCCAATTTAAGTTAGGTGCTTTACCTTGTAAGCACATCTTTGAGGATCCTTTGCCATTTACAACACGAAAAACCTGAACTTGAACAAAAAATTCACAAATCAATAATTCGGATAGTTTTCCACTAAAGGTTTGATTCTGACTAACATAAGTTCCTTGTCAATTGGAGCTTGTGAAAGGAACTCGGGAACCAAAAAAATTCTAAGAACTGGGTTCCTTTCACAAAATATTGATCAGAATTTGAAGTGACCAATTCGAACAAGCTGCATAACATTGGATGCAACACAAAACGCTGATTCCAATTTCGTTTTCCATATCTGCTAAACGCCTCTGTAGGCGCACGGTGTAGTTTGGATGTGTATAGAACCTTGCCTAGGGGGAATTTCGCATGCTCTTCTCAAAAATAATATCAGATTCGCAGGGAGTGTAATCGGCTACCGAGTGATCCAAGATCATCAATATCTTAGGCAAAACCGAGTTCAAAAAACAAAATATCTAGCAGTTTTCTTCAAAAATATGTACAGTAAGGTTATTTGAGATATCTCTATCTATTCAAGTTTCTTAACTTTTTGTGCAGGATATGTGGGCATAGCTCTAATCAAAATTTACTTATTGAAGTTCGTTATGTAAATCGAGTGCTGCGTTATTCAAACGTAATACGTCCAGCACAAAAATCAGTTTTACTGTATGTAATTCATCTTTGGAAGCACTATGAAACGAAGACAAAAGCACTCTTATACATGGCAGCCTGAAGAGTTTGCGAAATTTGAACGTCGAATTTGAAAAGGACACATGTAACTTCTTCTAACGTAAAAAAGACACTTGATGGCCGTGACCTTTCGATATGTGAAATATTTATATCATGGTGTTTGCCTGATCTCAAAACTGTATTCGCTATCCTCAGAACGACTCTTCAGATTTGTCTTTTCGCATTGGCGTGTTTGCATAAGATTGTGAGTGCCCTTGAAGATGAATGTGTCGAATGAGATTAGCGGTTGGCGCTGTTGAATGTTGCACCATAGATGCCGGTTTGATTTCCGTCGGCGCGAAGATTTTTGCGTCGCTTTAGGAAGCGCTATTTCTTCTCAGAAAGGCGTTCGGCGGAATAGCAAACATAGCTTCGAAATCAGCGTTTCAAGATGAGTATTCTGATACATAGTACGCCTCAAAAGCTGAAGGTCACCAGTTATCCTCCCCTTGTAAGCAGCGTTTTAGAGATATCCGAGCAAGTACACATTACAAAGTGCACATATCGTACACTAGGTGCAATTAGCAGCAAATGTAATTAGAAGCATCAGATGACCACTTTAGTCTGATTTTAGAACAAAATTTTTCTAGAATGACAAAACTATTGCAATCAGCACGCTAGATAGCTCTCCCCCTCATAGCGATTATTACAAACGCATGTGCACAAATTCCAATTTCACCGTACACTTAATAACTATCTGCTAATACCATCATCGCAAGCAATGAATGTTATTGTTGTACTATGCACGTGGAATAGACCCTCTATGCAAAATTTTAGGCATCCTGTTGATTCGATTTTCTGCCGTGATTGACCGTACCGCTTCATTTTGTTGTAACAGAGCGCCACGCTGAGCTGAGTATGTCGTCTTTGAAATCAACTTTTTTGAAAACATGATTTTTTTTTGCAAAGATGAGGCAGCATTGTGCAATTAGTCAACCGCAGTCCAAACTCATTGGGATATGATGCTTGGTTGGGTTGCTGATTAAAATATTTGAACTATTTCATTTCGTGTCGGAATCGGAAGAAAAAGAAAAGCTTGTAAAGTTGCTTGATGATGACCTTCATAAGATAGGATACAAAAAGAGTGAAGAAGCACTAAAATTAGTACCTGGTTTGATTCGTATAACATACTCCATGAAATTCATTTTGAAAGCGTTTTCTTATACATATCGTATTCAAGGGTTAGTTACCTGTTTAGATGTTGAGGACACACTACATCAAGATACATATGACCACCTGATATGACTGCTCTATGACAAAAGGATATTTAATAAACGCATTCCTTTGGTAGAATTGTTGCGCATTCACATTGAACAAGGGGATCGGAAATTGACGTTGCTGTAGTTGTGAAATGCGTTATTGAATTTCATAAAGAAGCTTCCGAGACTATAACACCAATCAATATTTTTGAGGACTTCACGAAAAAAGTCGTTTTTCTGGATATAAAAGATCCATACTAAAAGCAAAAATCAAAAGCTCACTCCAGGATCTCGATTACAAGGTCCATTTGTAGGGCAGAGGCTGTCACTGTACAGATCCATAGGGCACTGACATTGTGGAGGTGTTACCGGGGGCGTCACAACTGAATTAAGTTTGTCACTTCTTGCCCATGGCAGAATTTCCCCATCTCAAATTATCGTACTATTTGAGGAAAGATATGATGTCTCAGCACGTATAAGCTTCGAGCGAGTTCGAAAGGATTGGGTGACCACGAATATCACTATTTGCGTGGATTCGATTTTTACAAGGAATGCATGCTTAGAAGTGAGCTTTTTAGATGGGATGTGTATCATACCGAAGGGCATAAAATGCTGATTCTAAATCTGTCTTCCTTATCTGCAGAGCATTTATGGACGAGGAACTGTGAGCGCTTGCTGAAGCGAAGAATTAAAGTGCAAGAGGACAAAAAACAACCGTAATACTTTTTCCAACTCTTCAATGAAGCAGTGATATTCATCAGAGCACTTTATACTCTAAAATATAAAATATATCACTTTATTGCGTTGTTTGAGGGCTAGTGAGATTTTAGCAACTCATTTGATCCAAAATGCACATTCAGTTTTTGGCTCCAAAAAACTCATGACTCCTCGTCTATAAAGGTTCTGCAGATAGGGAAGGCAGTTTCGGAATTACCGTTTTATGTTCTTTAATATAGTATATGTCATGAATCCCCAATTCATGATTTATTACGATGTCGATGTGCGTTCCCACAGTGACGGGAAATGTTTAACATTATGTTTTGAGAACAGCAATAGGTCTTAAGGGGAGCCGAGGGAAACGGGAGGCAGGTAAGATGGGCAAGCTGCCTCGTCCCTGACAGGCGAGGAACCTGGCAAATGGTAAATCACACTAGGTAAGGCAACTCAATATTATAGAAATATATGTCTTTGTCATTGTGCAAGTTGTAAATAAATATTTTACTTGTGGATCGTATTTCACCCAAAGAAATCGTACTGGAATAGTACGAACATGGTGCATCGGCCAAACTCGAAGAAAGGCCGTATACAAGCGTGGCAAAAATCGGCAAGGTAAAGCAAGGTAACAGGAAATATAGCGTGAAGTGCTCTGGAAGGACCCACCGGAGCAAATGTTCCTTAAGCCATGTCTACCTTGCAAGAAAAAAAAATAGAATAGAAGCGCTTCATAAATATTATTACGCAGCTGCCTCAAATAAAAGTACCGGAAGGGTACAAAAGTAAAAAAGAGAAGTACCGGAAGGGTACAAAAGTAAAAAAGAGAAGTACCGGAAGGGTACAAAAGTTTAAAAGAGAAGTACCGGAAGGGTACAAAAGTTTAAAAGAAAAGTACCGGAAGGGTACAAAAGTAAAAAAAAAAAGAAAAGTACCGGAAGGGTACAAAAGTTTAAAAGAAAAGTACCGGAAGGGTACAAAAGTAAAAAAGAAAAGTACCGGAAGGGTACAAAAGTTTAAAAGAAAAGTACCGGAAGGGTACAAAAGTAAAAAAGAGAAGTACCGGAAGGGTACAAAAGTTTAAAAGAGAAGTACCGGAAGGGTACAAAAGTTTGAAAGAAAAGTACCGGAAGGGTACAAAAGTTTAAAAGAAAAGTACCGGAAGGGTACAAAAATTGAAAAAAAAAAGTACCGGAAGGGTACAAAGTTTTAAATGAAGAGTACCGGAAAGGTACAAAGTTCTAAACGACGAGTACCGAAAAGTTACAAAATTTCTCCGACGAGTACTACCGGAAGGGTACAAAAGTACCGGAAGGGTACGACATTATCAAAAAAAAATTGGAATGTCACATTAAAATCTCAAAACAAATATAATTCTCAAAACAAAAGTGTCTCGCAAGAGATTTATTGATATGCAAAGTGCAAACATTGAAGGTATCTCACAAGATGAAAAATAGATAAGCACATGAGAAACACAACAAAAACAAGAGACAGTACAAAAGGAAGTCAAGCCGACGAGACTCCAGTTGAAAATTTTCTTCATTTGAGACCACCTCGATTGACACTTGACGTTTCGACGTAATGTCCATTACAGCTTTCAACCTAAAAGGAGCAAAGCAAAGACTAACTCGACAACTCAATGAGCTGGGAAAAATGCTACAAGAAGCTGAAGAATATGCTCAACCATGGCAATTTCCCACAGTAATGCAAGACTTGGAAAACTTTTTGGCAACAAAACCAATTATAGTAAAAGCATTGAGCAAAAGAATGGAAAGCAAGAAAGAGAACATATGGCAATTTTACAATGAATGTGTAAGTAACATCAATACCTCTGAAGAAAAATTAGGAGAGGATGGAAATGTAAAAGGTAACTTTGAACAATACTGGGAAGAAAAAAGAGGAGAATTTTGGTTGGAGACCACCTCCGAGGTAATTGACAATCTAGAAAAGAGGATCATAGAACTCCAGTGCCAAGAAGCTCTGTTGAAAAAAGAACAGGAAAAACGTAAACAGAATGAAAATGACCGAACCACCATCGTAGGTCACCGTTTGTTCGGAAACGAATTGAAAATCCCAGAATTTGACGGTAAAACAACAGAGTTTGATTCATTCTGGGAACTTTTCGAAGAATTAGTTCACAAACAACCCTATTCTAATATTGAAAAATTTTCAATTCTTCTCAATTGTTGCAAAGGAGACGCCGCAAGAACTTTGAGGATGATACCAAGAACGGGAAGTTCATATGAAACAGCAATAAACCAATTAAAACTTCTGTACCAAGATCCCAAAAGAACCACCATGACAATGATAAGGCAATTAAAAAATATGAAACAATCTAAAGACGATGCCAGGTCGCTCAGAAACACACTCAGTGATGTAGAAACAATAATTGCAACTTTACGCAGGAAAGGTGAGTGCGTCGACACCACACAAATGACAAGTATGATAATCGAAACATTCCCCAAAACCGTACAAGAGGAAATTCTCAAGAAAGAATTTGACTCAGGTAAACAATGGTCAGTTGCAGAACTCTTGCAGAATATATCCCTCATTGCAAAAAGAAACGAGCATTTGGAAAACCGCATACAAGAGGAGAATCCAGAATACTCAATGTTTACACTGAATACAAGAAGAAGTTAGGTAGGGGTGAGGTAACAACTCACCACAGTGCATTTTGTCCTGCAAAATTTGAATTTTAAGAACAACAAAGGAAACAGAAATCAATTTTAACTGTTTCGAATGTCCAATTCTTTCACTCTAAAGTAAGACAATTTCAGTATCAAAGTAACCATTGTATCAGTTGTAATGTTATGATCATGTATCTTGTTTCATTATTGTTATCTTATTGCATCACCGTATCATTTATCATTTAACATGTATCACTTTGCTAGCACTCATCACGTATCAGTTATCAGTTATTGTCACATATCATATCACTTATCAGTTATCAGTTATCACTTATCATATCACTTATCAATAATCAATTATCAATTATCATATCACTTATCAGTTATCAGTTATCACTTATCATATCACTTATCAATTATCAATTATCAATTATCATATCACTTATCAGTTATCACTTATCACTTATCATATCACTTATCAATTATCATATCAATTGTCAATTAACAATTATCAGTTGTCAAGTGTCAATAAAGGAAAACCAATAAAGGAATAAACTCACTAGTCTACTACACTTATAGCATCAACATCAATCACGACATTTAGTACAACAAAATCATATAACACTATAACAAAAAAAAAACAAAAAAAAACGCGCAGTCCCTCGCTACCATGTCGTCATCATCATCATCAACGGCGAATCGGAAAAATCTCCGTCATCAATTGAAGTATTCATTGTGTATTGTAGTTTAAATGTAATTTAAATTTTGAAATTGTTTATTATGAGAAGTATGCATTGTATATTGTGATGCAAATGTAATTTTGATTGCTTATCATAAGATGGTAACAAAAAAAAACCAAAAAAAAACACCAACAACAACAACAACAAAATTTTTTTTTCTTTCTTTTGTGTGCGGGGAGTGTCATGAATCCCCAATTCATGATTTATTACGATGTCGATGTGCGTTCCCACAGTGACGGGAAATGTTTAACATTATGTTTTGAGAACAGCAATAGGTCTTAAGGGGAGCCGAGGGAAACGGGAGGCAGGTAAGATGGGCAAGCTGCCTCGTCCCTGACAGGCGAGGAACCTGGCAAATGGTAAATCACACTAGGTAAGGCAACTCAATATTATAGAAATATATGTCTTTGTCATTGTGCAAGTTGTAAATAAATATTTTACTTGTGGATCGTATTTCACCCAAAGAAATCGTACTGGAATAGTACGAACAGTATACATCTCATTCTAAAAGGCCACTTCGACTAAACAAGCTTTCCCTGTTAGAATGTATAACTATTGTCATCAAAATGCAGGCTAAGTACTTAGCCTCTAATTAAGAGTACATGAACAAGCACTTCTAGAAAAGATGCAGCATCTAAGAACCATTTTACGCACGGATATTGATTTAACGAATAGAATAGGTAGCAGTTGAGACGGCAAGGTATATGCATTTGAAAAGATGCGCAAAGAATTCGATCTTCTGAATTGTTATCATCGTTTTTGTGTCTTCCGTCGAAAATTTAAAGGTGTTGAAGCAAATCAAAGTACCTGGTTTCTTATCTGGAGAATGACTGGAGGTTTAAAGGTCATTTTTGAGCTAACGCTCAAATAATTCACTGTTGCAGGCTTTTTTCAGAAATCTAAGCCCAAATAGTCGGGAGAGGAGGCTAAGCTGCAAACCAGTCAAATTTAGCATTTCACAAAGAAAGAATGCTAAATCAAACTTGCCTATTGAAATAACACACATATATTTGATCAATGTGAAACAGTGATTACAAATATGCTGTTACTAGCTGCTGAGCGTTACTCTGAAACGTGTCATGGGCTCTTTTCTGTGCAAAATTCGCGTGCTAATCGATTTACTAGTGCTACAGCGCCAACGTTTAGGTTTTTGGTGCGTGCTTAATGCTCTATTTCGAGATTAAGACTCAATATGAAACCAGTTCCACATTTTGAAACTTTCGAGCAGATTCTTATCTGATTAAATGATAATTGGTGTCCGTTT